TGTGTGTGTGTGTGTGTGTGTGTGTGTGTGTGTGTGTGTGTGTATGTGTGTGTGTGTGTGTGTGTGTGCTGCAGTAATTTCTTTTGTTTGTTTGCTTTTTTCTTTAGGCAGTTTTGGGACTGAACTCAGAGCTTCGTACCTATCAGTCAAACACTATTCCATTGAGCCATACCCCCAAACCTTTGGTTCTATGGTTGAGAGAGAGTCTCAAGTTTTAGAGAGTCTCAAGTTTTTGCCTGGGCTGGCTTGTAACACAGTTTTTCTACCTCTACCTCCTGAGTGGCTGGGACCACGAGTGTGAACTTGTTTTTGGGACAGGGTTTTAGTAAGTTTTGCCTTGGGCTGACCCTACATGCCAATCTTCTACTGTCTTCATGATTCCTATTGCTTAATGAAAATGTGTTTTGTCCTTTGAATGAATTACACTTTCTTTTTATCTCTGGACTTTTGTTCATTCCCCCCACCCCCCATTTTTGTCTGGCTTATTCCTCATCATTCTTTCAACCAAGCTATCGCTTTTTCAAGAATGCCCTTCAAGACTCTTCCAGCGTTGCTCAAGGGTAGTTCAGAGAACCTGTATTCTTCCATGCAGGCACACCAACAGGTTGTTTCCCTGACAAATGCTTAGGAGACCACAAGTTCCCAAAGGGCAGGGGGATTTCTCTGTCTTTAGTTGCATGCCCTGCGCCTGGAACACTGTATCTGCTCAGTAAAATTTGCTCAATGAATAAACCAAAGTCCCTTTGTATCATTCCGCTGGTAAGAAACACCACCCAAGCAGAAAGAGAGACAAGAAGAATTTTTAATGCACAGAAAGTCCTGCAGGGACTCTGGGCAGACCCACAGGTATCGGGAAGAAGCAGAGGTCCTGGAAACTCATTAATGTCAGAGGTGGGGGGGGGGGATGAAAGGAAGGGAGGGAGAGAGAGAGAAGAAGAAGAAAAGGGAGAGAGGGAAAGGAGAAAGAGAGGGAGAAGGAAGGAAAGACAGAGAAAGAGGGAAGGAAAGAGAAAGAGAGAGGGAAAGAGAGAAAGAGAGGAAGAGGGAGGGAAAGATAGAGGAAGAGAGGAAGGAGGGAAAAGAGAGAGAAAAGAGATAGAGAGAGGAAAAGAGAGAGAGTCTTTAGAGACCCAGCTTCCTCCCTGCAACAATCTTCAAGGCTTTCTTCCTGGTGCTGTCTCTCCAGAGGTCTCCTCCAGGGGTCCATGATCGGAAGGAATTTGAATGTGGCAGAAGGGAGGAAGGAGAGGAAAGGCCACTTGGTCTCTACCTGAAAGCTCCTGCCCTCCCCACTGACTTCCATTCATAAGAAAATGTTTAAAAAGGAGAGACATTTGATAAGAGTCAAATAATATCTTAGAAAAAAATAAAGATAGAGAGGAAAAAAAAAGAATAATTCCATTGGTTATAAAGTTCTCTGTCCTCTTTATCCACAGGAGAAACAGTTTGCTTTGGCCTTGCTGGCAAGCTTCGTCTCCCAGGCCCATCCTCAGCTGCCCCTTGCCCACCCAGGCCCCAGGATCCAGGAGAGTACCGCTCTCCCTCGGAGAGTCTCTGTGCTCATGGAGGGTAGTACCCTCCCTCACCGGCCCTTGGATTCCCCATAGGTGTTTCGGGCCATGGACACCATCTTCTCCTCGCATGTGATTTTGGTGTCCTTGAGGATGCTGTACCACACCATGCCTGCAGGCCGGACCTCCTCACTGCGGCAGAAAAGGTAGGGCACGGTGTCTACTCGGCTCTGGATGTAGGGGCTCCGCAGGAGGCTGGAACAGTGGCTGCTCACTCTCTCCAGCCGCCGCAGGATCAGGTGGGCCTTCCTGAAAGGCAGAGGAGACAGTAGTAGTTAGGGAAGAAGTCCAAAGCAGGAATTAAGCCTTAGAAATGGTGACTGTATGTCAACAGACCCCCAGGAATGCAACTTGCTACAATGACTTCCTACCTACTTTCCCAGCCTAGCTGTGGTATAGTTTAATACCTATTCAAGCCAACAGCAATACTAACTACTCAGGAGGCTGAGATCTGAGGATTGCAAATGTAATTAAAAAGCCAACCTGTGCAGGAAAGTCCTTGAGATTCTTATCTCTAATTAACCACCAAAGAAATAAAGCCATCATCCGTGCCCTGCATCTTGTATATACATTTTTCTAATTTGGGGAGGGGAAGGGAAATAACAAAATGCTGAAATAAGGATACAGGTCTACCCATTGTAACAATGGGTAACAACAAGACACTTCCTTGAAAACAAACTTTACAGCTTTGTTGGGGGGGGCGTGAAGAAGTTAGGGAGGTAGAGGTGGGGAGGGAAGGGATAGTAGGAGAAAAACAAAGAAGGGGGTAACAATGCTGAATAGGAAGTGTACTCATTACCTTACTCATGTAACTATAACCCCTTTGTACAGTATCTTTACAATAAAAAATATATATTAAAAAAAAAGAAAGCCATCAGTGGCTCACACCAGAAATCCTAGTATTCAGGAAGCTGAGACCTAAGGAATGAGGTTTGAAGCCAGCTTGATGAAGGAAAAATCTGTGAGACTCTTATCTTCAGTTAACTACTAGAAAGCCAGAAATGGAGCTGTGGCTCAAATGAACACTAGCTTTGAGCAAAAGAGCTCAGGGACAATGCCAAGGCTCTGAGTTCAAGCCAAAAGGCTGGCACAGAATAAACAAACAACAACAAAACCTCTTCAAAATCTACCTGAAGACCTATCCTCTTCAGGCATGCGAGTGTAGAAATCCAAGAGGCAAAAACCTCTGACCTAGTTTTTTCAAATAGAAATAGAATCAACCCTTGAAAGTTTGAAAACTATCAGCACAGGAAATCTGATCAAACAGAAATTGATTTTATATATATATATATATATATATATATATATATATATTTAGTATAACTGGGCATCAGTGGCTCATTTCAAGGATCCTACTGTTCAGCAGGCTGAGAGATGAAGATTGCAGTTAAAGCCAGCCTAGGAACAGAAAATCTATGAGACTCATCTCCAATCAGCGACCAAAAAGCCAAAAATGGGGCTGTGAATCACATGGTAAAGCTTCAGTCTGGATCACACAAAAGCTCAAGGACAGTACCCAGGCCCTGAGTTCATGCCCAAGTATCAGCACATACATATATAAATAAACACAACAAAAATGACAACTAAAATCTGACACTTGCCATGTGCCTGTGTTATCTGCTTGCCAGGGTGGTGTATTTTCATCCATTTAAATTTTTTCACTTACTCTTTACATATAGTTCTAACACCCCAGTCTTTTCACAACTATAGGTGAGCAACATGAGTGAAGCTCAGAAAAATGACATTATTAGACTCGAAAATCAAGTTAACCGTTGGAGCTGAACATTTGAGTCCGGGGCTGAACACTCACAAGTCCTTCCTCCTGTCTGCCTTTGTCTCTTGCACTCTCTCATGGGCTTTTATCCAGTCACGAAGTTCGGAAATTGTGTCCTCTGCGATTCTCTTTTATCAAAGTCTAAATATAAATGTCCCCAAATCAGAACTTCTTAGTGTTCCACTTTTCCCCATCTCTAAAATAGTGAGGACGGTCTTATCTTCATAAGCTGGTTAGGAGATTATGTATAAGAAATGCCCAGACACTGATAGTCAGCTTCCATTACATGATAGTTATAATGATAAAGATTATTATGATGATACCTCCGAAACTAGGTTAAGCAGTAGACTAACTAAGGAAGGAATCATTCTGGATGGTGGTCATCTTTAAGGATTTATCCAGAACACATTATCACTTAGAGGATCTCAGAGAAATCTGATAGTATTGTGGTTAAAGCTAGGCGTGATCTAGGTCCAGAGTTTCTTTTCTTTTTTCTTCTTCTTTTTTTTTGTCAGTCATAGAGCTTGAACTCTGGGCCTGGGTGCTGTCCCTCAGCTCTTCAGCTCAAGGCTAGTGCTTTACCACTTGAGCCACAGAGCCATTTCCATTTTTCTGGTGGTTTACTGGAGATCGGAGTCTCAAGGACTTTCCTGCTCGGGCTGGCTTTGAACCATGATCCTCAGATCTCAGCCTCCTGAGTAGTTAGGATTACAAGTGTGAGCCAGCAGTGCCCGGCTAGGTCCAGATTGTAAGAACAATTGTAAAGGACATGCTAAACACCCTGCAAGAATACAGCCTAAAACTACCAGGTGACAACTAACAGCCCCACACCAGTCAAGACAATAAAATGGGCTTAAAGCATTGCTGAATGTCCTTTCAGTAAGAACCACTAATCTGGTGTGACCTACTCAACAAAAATGTGGAAACTGAGTCCTAGAGAGAGAAAGGAAGGTCTTTTCCCAGGTATACTATATGTCAGCTCCATTGTCAAAATGTTTGTCTCCCATAAAATCACTTTTTTTGTCTATATTCCAGCATCTTTAAAGCTTCCCAGAAATCCTATGAGACTAACCCAGAGGCTCTCTCTCTCTCTCCTTCTGACTTCCTCATGCCCTTCTGAGACTCCAGGAGAGTTTTACAACACTGACCCCACAAATGAGAGGCTATGTTAAGCACCTATGTGGCAGCTGGAAAAAGACTTGGCTATGGATTAGATTTCGTACCGACAATTTATGAGGTGCCTTTCAAAAGTTCTCTTTGTATAGTTCACCACTTGAGTGGAATATTTCTGGAAGTACCAAGGGTTCACCACATTACAATCATACTCTTTCCATAACCCTCCCTCCTCTTAGGCAAGCACACCACTACCAAGAGCCCTCCGAGATGATGTTCATTTCTCATCCCTCTTTGAGATCTCACTCTGTTCCTGACTAGCGCTATGTCCTTTGGGATATTTACTTCCCATCTCTAAACCTTTGGGAATAAAAAGGGCTGTTGTGAAGACAAGGGAGATACTATAATACTTGCTCAAGAATCTAGCATGTGTCACACAGCTCAACTTCCATTTAGAAGCACCAGTGGGAAAGACAAATGAATGGAGATTATAATGCAGGAATGCAAGAATACAACAGTGATTGTCTCAAAAAGCCATATAAGCTGAATAGGAGCAGAGGAAGGTTCTCACTAGAATGATGGATATCAAAGAAAGCTTCCTAGTGGAAACTGAAGTGTCAGAAATGTGTAGGAGTTGGATAGAGAAGAGGTCATAGATACAACAGAAAACCAAGGAAAGGCATGGGGATTGAAGATAATGTAAGAGCTTTGAAGTATTCTGGCTGAAATACAGGGCCCCAGTAGGCACCAGAAGTAGCAAGGATCCAGGTTTCTGGCTTCCCACCAGTGTCCTCACATGACCCCAATGCATGGAGTAACAGTACACTTAAAGGCTCTAAAGCACTGGCTACTTAGATTCAAGTCCCAGCTCAGCCACTTGTAAGCTGGGCTATTTGGGATACACTTCCGCACTTTAGTTCCCATTGCCTAGTCTTATTTATAACGTGGGCATACTGTAAACTACCACAATGTATTGTTTTATACTTACAAAGGAGTAATGAATCTATAGTGAGCACTCCATAAATGAGGTCTATGATTATTGTCGGGAGGGTAAGTATGGGAGGTATTGAAGGGTTTAAAGAAGGAAAATAACTAGTTTGACTCTGGATTGTTTATAAATATTTTTGGCTGCTTTGGAAATGAGTAGAGGAAGGCCATAATTGAACAGTTTTATACTTTGGGGTGCTGGTTTGATCTTTCTCTCTGAAATAGTTAAAAAGTAAAAAGCTACTTAGTCTGTTTTGTCTTAAATCTGAGGAAAGGGGATAGCATATTGCTCAACGCATCGGCTTACAGTAGGGCTTAGGTAAGTCAATACATGCAAAATGCTTTGAAAATGGCTAACATGATAAACTTAGGAAAAAAAACTTAGAAAGTTAAGAGCCTGATATATGTTACAAACAACCATCACCAAAATCACCACCCTTACCACCCTCACTATGACCACCATTATTGTGCTATTGAGTATTCTTTGCATGCCAGGCACTGAAGATAGGTATACACTGGTTGAAGTCTTGACTGCCTTTATAAGGCAGAGCAGGAGACACACAGTCAAAGATGTTTACAATCTTTAAGTCAGTGATGGAGTGGTGGATTGGAACCCATGCAGAGTATTATTGGATCTAGAAGGCAGGCACCTAATCAAGAATTTGGGAGCTCAGAGGAGTCTATCCAAAGGCTGTGATTGCTGAGCTAGGCTTTCATGAGATCAGACGGTGGAGGAAAGAAGCTATCTCAAGTGAGACCAGAAAGAGCACCAGACAGTTTGAAATGGTCAGTACAAAGAATGAGTAGAAGTCCAGTGAGCTTAGCAGAGATCTGACCATCTCATCTAAGCTCTTCTCTGCTATGTAGAGAGATCTGAATTTTAGTTTTTGCATGATGAAGGGTCCATGCTGATCCAGACAGTCACAAAAAATAAGAAATAAATACAAAATGAACTTGGAAAGGATAATTTTTTTTAACATGGCCAAAGGTTTTGCCCCAAAGACCCAGCCATTTCCTCAGAGAAATTCTTGGACTAAAATTCAAGTGGACAAACACTTCTTTTTTATGAATAATGAAACTGAGTTCTGGAATGAGAAAATGAACTGCCTTAAAGTATGCCTTAAGTTATTAACAGGCAAGGTTCCTGATTTCATTAAGATGAAGCAGTTAGCTCTTGAGTCGCTGATTCACGTTCCAGCTCTACAACTTAACATCTTTGTACGTTATGAGGAAGTTCTTCAATCTCCCTTAACTCTGGGTTACCACATCAGCAAAATGAAAATAACGATTGTGTTGTAGCAGGATGATTTAGCATAGGTAATTCACTTATCTCTAAGTAAATGGTAGGCACAACTCAAAGTAGCATTAATAGTAG